CATGGGCAAGTGTGTACTGACAAGTACAAGTACATGAATGTAAGTTGACAGAGTCAGTGAGGAACACGCAGCCATAATAAAATGTTCCTTATGTAAAAAGTTGTGCGAAAGACAGATATGAAAGGAGGATCTCACTATAGTGAATGATAACAGATTCAAATTATAATAATACATGATAATAGAAGATAATAATGATGATACATGATGGACAGAATGAGAGGAGATGGACCCACCTTGGCCTGGTTGATGATCAGACCCATGAACGTGGACACCAGCGCAGACCGGGACAGAGACGGACCCCTCCTCCGCTGCAGCTCGGGTCTGTCCAGCGGAAGAGAGGCCGGTTCCTCCGGCACCGTGACCGTGTAGGAGTGACGCAGAGACGGCATGTTCTCAGGGAAGCACCGCTGCTGCAGAGCTGGAGCCAATAATCAAAGAGAGGATGGAGAGGTGGTGAGTTCAGGTCCTGATGTGTCTGCAGCTCTGCACCTGAACACAACTGCTGCTGTGGATCACTGAGGTTAGACTCACTGAGGAGGTGTATGTGTGTGTGTGTGTGTGTGATAGTGTGTGTGTCTCTGCGTGTGTGTCTGTGTGTTTTTACTGCGTTGTGTTCACGCCCACTTCCCCTCCCATGGAAAAACTGTGCTGCATTTAAGTGCTGTTGGACATATCAACACTGTGACAGCTCTGATTTTGGCAAACACAAAGAAACTGTGACAGAAGATCAATAACCCCCAAAAAACTGTATTCGTCCAAGAAAAGTAAGATGTTCAATACCAATCAAAACCCCTGCATGAAAAATAAACTTTATTTCTTCTCTTTATCTTCTTTCATGAGCCAATAAGGGACAAAACTGAAAGCTGACATAACAATAAAGATCATTTTGAAATTAAAAACAAAAACTAGAAATATAAATAAACAAATAAATCAAAAAAAACATAGATGCAATTAAAAAGTCATGTCTATATTAATCCAAAAGCTGCAGTGAAAGGTTTGTAGTTTAAAGATTTCAGCACTCACTTATTAGAATATGAATATTATTGGTTACAGATACATCGGTATCACTTTTACATTTTTAAAATATGTTTGTGTCCTATATTCAAGTTTTATACACTTGGTTGTTTCTGTGTTTTCTTTTAATTTACAGTTATTTATAATAAAGTTTATGGTTAAACTGTCAAACATTAAGGATCAATCACATTTCTTTGTCGTCAGGGTTTGAACAACTGATGGGTCGCAGCAAGAATTGGGGAGCGTTCCCTCATAATAGTAACGAGGCCCAATCTGAACCTGACGGACATCCTGTTCTTGTGTCCAAACCCGACCTGAGCTGGAGGTAGCGGATATATTTTTTAATCCCCAATATCAGCATCAGCTGCTAAAGATCTGTATCAGTGAGGCTCCACTTTTTACAAATCATTTTTCAAAAATAAAATAATATTTACAAAACAAAATAATTATAAATGTTCAAAATGACAATCAATCAAATCTGTGACGTGATTTCCTCGAGGCCCTCACTGCAAAACCTTTTACTCTTCAATGCACATAAAGTATAAAAAACAAAGTAAAGACTCAGTTATTCATGACATTATCTTGTTTGTTATATAGTTAAAGTTGGTAGTTAACCTAGTGACCCCTTCAGAAGGTCACACGATGAATCTGAGGGACGATGACATGATAAATGATCCAGGAAGTAAAACATTTTTCTTTAGTTTTCATGCAACATTTGATCATTTTACCTCTTTTACCTCTAGTCCCTCAAACAACGATTCAATAAAAACATCTGACTTTAACCGACACTCAAACACAACGGCCTCAGGCGGACACTGTACGTGACCAGCTGGACAAACATTTAGAACCACAGGTTTAATCTTCAACAAACTTTTATGTGATTTTCATACATTTATATTCAATGCAAAATGAAATAGCAACTTGTGTGACAGAGAAGTACTGCAGCCTCACTTGTACTGATTTTAGATTGAATAGACTGTACTTGTTGCAGATGCTTGAGTTACTGTCCAGTGTAATTCAGGACTTTTAGAATATAAGACTTGTTTAAAGGTCTCATGCAGAAAAAACAATGAATACTACTAATGATATAAAGTTAAAAGTTGTATAAAATGTTCTAGTCAGGGAAACAACTGTTAGAGGCCATAGGATGTTGTGTTAGGAAGTAATAAAGTACAAAATCAAATCACATTGAATTGATTCATACAATTATTTGTAGGTTTCCAAACATTTGCCTCATAGGGCTTAAAGGTAGAGTGTGTAAGATTTAGTGATATCGAGTGTTGACTAATGTAAAAAACATGGCGGCCTCCGTAGAGAGGGTCCCCTCCATGTAAATATTTAAGTATTTAAAAATTAAAGGGCCTTTTCTGGGGTAAAGGAAACTACAATTCACACAATTTAGATGAAACGAACTAGTGAAAACATCATGAGAATTATTCTACACTAAATTTCTGCCAATAGATCCCTTTCACCTAAATTCTACACACTGGACCCTTAATGCTCTGTTGAAGAACTTTTAAAATGGCAAAACATAACCAAACATAGAATCCACTTAGAATCTCCAAGTGAAGGATCCAGAGCAGTAAACTGCAAAAACTAATTGTGAACTGTGAGGTAAGTGAGGCTCTGTGGAATGTGCAACCTCCTGTTTATGGCACTTTATCTATATCAGATTGTGTTTAATTGTGTGATATATTGTACGAAACTTGCTCTTGTTTTATCTTGTAATTTAACTTCTCATGAACGGATCAGGAGCAGCACTCTTGATTTCATTGCATGAAATAATGGATTTCTATCGTCTTCCATCCACAATGTACCGACAAGATGGTGTAAAGAGCAAAGTACTGTCAGAGCAGACGTCATGTTTCTCTGTTGTTTTCTGAATTAAACCTAATATACGCAGGTTGTTCACTAAAGAAAAGAAAATTGTGCGCTGGCAGAAAATAAAAAGCTAAAATCAGCTTCATCCAGAATCTTGTGTCCTCACAGAGACTTGCTGACTCGGCTGGACTTAGATCTTTAGACCGAGCGAGGATCTGACAAAGGAACAGCTCGGAGTCTGATAAGAGGTCAATAGCCACCTTGTGTAACTTTACAGCTCCTTCTGTCCTCTCATCTTTAACAGAGGGAGCATTAAAACCAGCGCGCAAAGTCTGGTGCTGTCAGAGAAACTCAACACAGTCAGCTGATGAACCAGGTTTTAAACCTACATAGAGATGCATATTATTAGGGGCCTTATGTAACTTACTTGTGAAGCTAAAGGCCCTGGAGGCTCTTGGATGGAGTGAACAGTATATTTATAATGTAATGAAGCTAAAGATGTAAAAATATGTAAGTAAATAAGGTTTATTCCTATAGAAGTATGAATATCCACTTATATATTCTGACATTTCTGGTGTTGAGTATGTGCTACAAGAAAGGTGAGGTTCTCATTAATTATATTCTGACTCATCCTCTGGAGATTTAACTCAATGAAACACGTAATTACGTTTACAGCACATCGCCACGCCACGGAGACAACAAGTGAAGCGCCCCGGTGCGTCAGCGAGGGAACTCCTCAAACAATTCATGTATCCAGGCAAACCCAACAGGAGCAGCGAGCGAGCGAGACCACAGGCCTCACGATGAACCACCTCCTCGCACTCAAGAGGAATGTGATCCGTTAGTCACGAACATTCCTGCGTCGATGAATCTTGACGCATGCAGGTTTAAAGGGACTGACTTTCTCTGATCGGGTCAGATTCCAGGTCTGTGAGCTCTGGACATTTTCATGAGGTTTCATACATGAAGCAGCCGGAGAGGGTCCGGGTCAGACGACATTTTCCTTCTGTGTCCTTACATGGGCTCGCTCCGACGTTTTACCAGCGAGCAACACTGAACACTTGTCCAGAGTTCAGTGCATATGTGAAAGGAGTCATTGATGTGGGATTAAAATGATTTAAATCGGCCTTGACCTGCTTTATAGGAAGAGGGGTACATGAGCTACATTATAAGAATGAACACCACATCCACATCACATCTCGCAATGTTAAAGAAAGAAAATCTAAATCCTTTCTTGACTCGTGTCTCATCCTTCCACCCAGTTTCATCAGAATCCTCTCAGTCGTTTTTTTGGTGTAATGCTGACAACGAGCCAACCAACAAACAATTAAACAAACATAACCAGCTCGGTGGAGTTTTTCACAGTTAATCATTCACACAGTGTCAGAATGCAACCAGGAAATGTCACCGATAGTTAATTGATGGAGACAGTTCGCATGATTCTCTTGAGGAACGACACACCTCATGTTACACTGTGGAAAGAATTCACTTCATTAATTCCGACTAACACAAATTATTTCATTGGAAACTGTGTCAGTAGGAGAAGAAACATCTGCTTCTATTTTCAATCAGTCGTTTTTTTGAATAATCCTGTTCCACACACGTCTAATGTGCAGCTGAGATAATGTGGATTCATTATAGAATCAACAGTTTACACGTGTCTTCAATAGTTTTTGAGCTACGTCCAAACAAACGGAACAGATCTGGTGCAGAATTTAAGGGACGGTTTGTTCTCGGTCGAGGGAAACGCTCTGCTGGGTGATGTAATAGTTGTTATCTAAAACATTGATAAACTTGATCAATTAAAATTGATGACACATATATGGCTGAGGTTGAATTGCCATGAAAAGAACTATTGTTAATAATCACCTCGGTACATCCAGTTATGTAATGAGTTCATTTGTGTAATAAAGATAATCTCGCCGTCTCACAGGTTTGAGATGGTTGCTAAGGAACTCACAGTGAAAGTCTTCTACATGCTCCGAACATGACGACGAGGCCGATCCCTTCAACGCACAGAGAAGCGGCCTCCACCCCGACGGGCGAGGCCCCCCCGCCCTGTAGGCACGCAAGTCACTGAGGGAATACCTCCAGCTGTACTTATGTATGAGCAAACCCAGGGAGCCCTCTCTGTAAACTTCCGCTTCACTAAAGTTTACAGTTCATGTTTGTTCAAATACCAGCAACATGACAAACATGCAACCGACACACGGAAGTGAGGTCAGAGGAGAAGAGCTGTGGATTCTGTTCGTTCTTCTGTCAGACTTTCTTCTTATCCCACAAATCTCTGTCTGTTTCTCGCTAAAACCAATTTCAATGTATTTTGATGAAGTCTCTTGATGTTTCGCAAATGAGCCTGTCAATCAAAATATTTTTTAAGCCATGGAATTAAATCACATTTGCTTTTGAATCTTTCCTCGTGTAACATGATGAAACAATCAGCACGTGAGCATCTAACTCAGCCTGTATTCACATTCTTCCTCTGGCGTTTAAAGAATGTGAATTATTTCACACTCTAGTCACTGACCCTTGACCCCCGTGAATCCTGAAAGGTCAGACACGTGGTCACATGAAGCTAAAACCTGAGTAGATGTTCCTTTGACTTGAATTGACTTGTTGATTACTTAGAGGAGGTTGTTGTCACTGGGTCACTTCATTAATCTGATTCATGCATTCTGCAATATTTTCAGAATACAATGCAACTTCTCACATCAAATCTTTGTTCAGTGTCA